TCAGTGCCAGCACGCTATTAACTGAGCAAACACTTCACGATGACCGTCTGTACAATTTCTTCTAACCATTCAGAGATTTTTTCGCTAACTTTCACACATGTGTTGATAAGTATGGCCTTATTTAAAACTCCATATTGGATGTGCTGTCATTTTGCACACATGCTCAAACATACATGTAATAATAGATTTTTGTTACCTTCACCTTTAACTTTATTAATATTATGTAGCATTGGTAAATATATATATATATTGTATCTTCTTTTACGAGATTTTTTTCTAAGTGGTTCCACGGAATCAAATTTGTCCCGACCTTAACATAAGGCGCGTGATTCGTCGGCGAGGGCGCAGTAGAATCAAATGTAAGGGCAATTCTTCATCTTTTTCACTCGGTTTTTTTTCTATATTTTGTATTCTTATCGGGGCGTGAATGTGTAAGAAAATTGCATTTTTGTCACCCGACATACTTTAGTACTGAACAATAAAAGATAATTGATAAATCATAATTAATTAATATATCATTTTCCCCAGAAAATTAGATACAACATGTTCACTATCACACATAGATGCCAATAAAGCGTTCATATACGTTATAATTAATAGATCTGTAGAAACACGAAAAGGTGATAATGCTCTTAGAAACCAACATAGAGCTGCTAGTACTGCAGTTGAAAAGCGTGCGGGTAGGAATTTTAGCTCCAATAAAAAACATTCATATCTGATAAACCCGCTCCGTATTTCACCAGGTTCTTCACCATTCTTCCACACTAAAGGTTCTGTCGTTGCCGGGTACGATACTAGTACGGATTTCTGGAACACTTATTGATATAGTGTGTGGAAACTAATTCTGGATTCTAACGCTGATTTATTTGTTTTACCTGGAGTAATTTATGACTTCAAGTTCATTATTGAGTTGACAATAATTGCACTGTTGCAGTGTTTTACAGTACGTAGGCTTGTCATGATGACGGTGTTGATAACGATGCGTAGAACGTGCCATCGTCTTGTTTCAGAAGCCGACTCATAAATTAAAAAAACAAACAGAATTTATTCATTTTGCAACAAACTGTACTCCAAGGCAATATAGCGATGTTGACTTAAAAAAAGTTGGGGGTCACCAGCCTTATTTTCGAGATATTGGTGGTTTTATTTTAGTGGAAAGTCGCAATTTCGGCACAATCATAATGTTTTTACCATAGGTTCCTATGGCAGAGATATTGTGCAATATCTCAAAATCTAACCTGGTGACATAGGCTAAAAAAATCATATATTGTTAATAAAAGAGTACTTTTTGTTGTTCTGAATTAATTTTAAAAATCTGGATTTTAAAAAGTGTCAAAAAATGAATTGTTCTAAAAACAGCGATTTTCAAGAAATATTAGGACACGTTTCTCAAAAAACTTAACTGTAACACACAAAATAATGCTATTTCATTGTACCATGGGACATTAGCTTCATGATTGTACATAATAAACTAATTAACATTGCCATGTGATTTATGACCAATTTCGTCAAAAATTGTGAGTAGGCTCAGTCAAATCTATTGTTTACAAATCTAGCTTAATTATAACCGCTTAAATCAGAGGATGAAGAAGAAATAGATCGAATTTCAGGGTGTAAGGAGTGTAGAGGAGTTTTTTGGCACATGTTAATCGAAATGAACTTTTTATATAAAAAATATAGCTATATTTATTTATTTGAAAAAAATCAGAGCTCTATCACAAAAAGAACATATTTAAAACAGTGGTCAAAACTGACCACTAATCCTAGTAACCGTGCTCTACTGGCGTGACTGTGGTGCATTATATCGGTAGTCTTCAAGTTCGCGCCGCGCATGTGTGACATTTGTGTAAACATTTATATTCCCATAATCCAATGCGCTTTTCTAACGAAATCACGAGTACGAGTTTTACCGCCGGCGACTTCTTCGATAACTTCGATAAAACCAAAATAAAAAAATACCTAATTGAAATTTGGTAATCTCTGAGTTTGTGTTCGCGGCGCAAAACGAACGAAATGTGATAAAGTGTTCGCCCTATTTTGTAGCTGTGGATTCATAGCTCTTCTTGTGTTGTTAATTAGTCTTTTTGGTGGTATTTCAGTCATTTCTGATACATTTGGTGCTATTAAATTTGTTATTTTCAAATATCAGAATTTTTATCAGGCATAGTAGAACAATGGTACCTCTCATCATGGAGGTAATGCTCTCATAGACTTGAGTCATCGAACGAAAAGTAAGATAAGGAGTCTCTTTGACCTTTGTGGTAATCCAAGATGGCCGACAACAAAGCGTATGTTTGGTTTCCCACAGGTAGTCACTTATACGTTATATCAGATGGTTTTGGTCGTGATTCACTGCATTGTTTTATTTTTCAATGTCGTGGATAATTTATCTTTTATTCTGAGTTTTTACTAAATCTGAATATTTTATGCTTACGCCAACTATAGCCGCATATTTGTACTCTAGGCCGTGAACGCTATCTGAAAATGAAAATATGTGAATCAGAGCCATTCGTCAAATCTTCACTGCCGAGCACCATTATCTATTATGTTGTACAGCCAACACAAGGTATATACAGAAACCAATAACTTTTGTCACTAACTGCAATGATTTATGTTTGAAACTGCTATTTTCTAGACATGAGACTCAATCACTTTTCTCTTGCCAGACATCATTGGTTGTTTATCATTTGTTGCACAATATTCGGAAAGTTACACAACTGATAGAAACATTGTATTTCTAAGGATGCAAAAACGTTATTCTTATTAATATAACAATGTGCGATATGAATCAGGGATAATATTTAAATCGGAAGGGTCACACCTGTGTACATGCAGAAATTGAGTCCTAATTGACAATAACAACACATGCTAATAACATTCGATATAGATATTTCAGTACATTTTGTTGTTTCTCCAGGTATACTTATATTTGTAAAAATGAACAAATCAAGATCTCTTTTATTTAAAATCCGTAACTTTCTTACACGTTAAAAAATTTAGACCTTTTAGAAAATAGAAATTACATTGTAGTTTTGAAAAATAGCTTCCAGAATAGCTTTAACTGGTTAAATTTTTGACAAAAATAAGAGATACCATACATCCTGTTAGAATCACTTGTGATGTTTTGTAGCCAAAAATATAAAAATGAGTTAGTGCCATGGAAACGACTTTGTAAAATGCATATTTTCTGTTATCGTCATGAAAGCTGTTCAAATTTTTTCAGTACTTTGCATTTTGAAAATCACTTTTTTTTAAAAGAAACTTCAATGATGTTAAAATTTACTTTTGGAATGCACTCTTTGCAAACACCAATTTGGAAGATGTTGGAAACTGTTGGTGTTGCCACATGCTATTCTGATTGATTAATGACACTCTTGATTTATCAGGTCAAAGGTCATCATGGTAGGTCAAATCAAACTGAAGAAAAAATGACAGATCTCAATATTTGTATGGATTCCATCATTCTTTCATAATAAAACTTATTTCATAGCAAACCAAAGAAATAACATATTTGTATCAACTTATGACTGAATAATAAACAATTCTGTTAAAACATCCAGAGTTTTTTGTGTGTGTGTGCAAGATCATAAGTTCAGTGGTTTTTATCCTAATTAAAGCCAAAATTAGAGTTCAACCATATAATCCTGTGATTGATTGAAATTTCAAAAGCCAATAAATAAGTAAGCACCATTTTTCTGTAATACAAGCAAGTATATTTATTTCTATGAAATTTAACAATTTGTATGTTGATTTCATTACAGGTGTTTCTTGGTGAAAAGTAGACTGAAAAAAACTTCAACTATAATGGGAGTATTGTGGTAAGTTACTTTGCATTGTCTAAAGAACATGATCAACCAATTTGTACACTGTGAGAAGAGAAATATTCACTGAGTTTTAATTTAGTGAATTTGTTGTGAATAATAAAGCTCTATACAAATGTACAATAATATATTCATGTGTACTTTGACTAAGTGGATTTGCCAGGAGATAGGTTGTGGTTTCTTTCTGACACAAATCAAATTGGAACT